TCAACATTCTAAGTACCACCTACTAATAATCTCGCCATAATCTTACACAAGCTCAAAACCAACAGGAACATCATTACGATCTACGAAGAAGACCATTTCCAATCTTGGATATTAATTTACACAACATCACAATACTTGGAAGACGTGGAAGGTGTACCGGAGAAGGAAGCAACAGATTTTAAAAAAGAGAGAAAATTCCCCGATATAATAGTACTATTTGATCCTAATGTAGTTTTTATGTTTCAGATTGTACTTCTCCTTGTAGTAGTAATAGTAAAAGTAATGAACTTTATTAACAAAAACAAAAAAAGCGATACAATACATTCATTAAGCACCTCAAAGAGGAATTTCCTCCATAGGAGATGCAAACGGGAGAGTTAAGGCAGGAGAATTCAGAGTGAAGTGCTGGAGAAGCGTAGGAGCAGCTGACCCTCGATGCCTAGGGCGGTACCTAGTGCAGGTACAAACTATTTACAATAGTGTAGACGACAACGAGAACCACAACTCTAAGAACAACATCGCAATAACTATGCCGGAGCCATGCAAAATCAGTCAACAGGCGAGGATGGAAATAGCTAAAAGAAGACTTAACTATGAGGAGAAGCATAGTCCAAATGGCCTGTAAGAGCTCAAAAATAGCTAGTGAAAAGGAACGACTGCACTCGATACCGAACCAGCACACTCATCACCTTCATCGCAAAGGCAAAAGAAGTAACCTGGCGCATGCAAAGTCCACGCTCCGAGTAACGTTTTGGACAAAAACAACGGTTGACAGAAGACATCTGTAACGATCGAAGTTACAATTGCTTCTTGATACTTACAAGAAATTGAGGAGACATATCAATGAATACTGGACACAGACACCTACTATTTGGAACCAAGATGAGGAGACTAGAATGGGGACGAAAAACGCGACAAGAAGTAAAAAACAACTGCTGGCAGTCATTTAATTTTTTTGATCTTCGACATTTGATTATTCCCTTTCTTGCGCGCATAAAGACTAGGCGAACGGTGTCATCCAGATGCAAAGACGACGGGAACGCGAAGAAGAAGGCGGCATGGCTATGAAGAAGTCGTATGCTACATTCAAGACCAAGCTCAACCATACGGCGCAGACTGAAGAAAACATCGCAAAACTAGAATCAATCAAAAAAATTAGAAGAATAACAACAAACTAGCAGAGCTTCTTAAACGCACTCGACGACTCCTTGTGAAACCATATTGATGGAACCTTTTATATAACCAGAAACTTTTAAAACAACTGCGGAAATAGGGGTTGCGGGACGCAACCTATCGATACCTCGCGCATTTACGAAATAACCATCAGTTTCATAAAGAGAACTGAACGACACGTAAGCTTGGTTACGGTAGAGTTACATAGTGTGGCTGTGTCTAGAGGTAGGGAAGAAGGAATGAAAGAAGCACCAGAAGAACTTACGAGAACAGGATCCACAGAGCCTCCTTATAAGCGACCTGAAAACAGAGATGGCTACGCTTCTTTGGCATCTCGTCTTTTGCCAACGTCCTAACCTTGTGGATGACCTCTCACGCCCATCTCCTTATATCCAAGAGAGTCACCTCATTCTCCTTTGTTATTGTTTTTTCCAGTTTTCGGTGGTTGATGAATAACCTTTGTAACTAATCTCTCTTTCTTACTAGTTTTGTGTAGTATTAAA